TCTCAGACTGTATTGATGATAAACTGGAGTCACACAAAACTGCATAAGTGGGCGATATTCCTTTCAGGAACAGCCTTCGAAATAAAAAGAGAACGGCTTCTTAGGGGGAGAAGTCTGAAGTAAAGACAAGCATCACCTTCATTTGCAAACCCAGCTTAACTCCTGCCCCAGCAATATAGGATTGTGTTGTCTTCCCTCCATTTTGCCAGTGGCTGCCTTTATCAGGATCGACCTAAGCAGGCCTTTACTTTTAACCAGACGTTAAACCCACAGATAGATGACTGATTCTTTTAAAGAGAAAAGCTTCAACGGGATGGACTAGATTACAAACATCAGTATCAAACCCACATTTTATTACTAGTAGTAAACTGTCCTTTCATAAAGCTTTGCACACTGATGACACATGAGGAGCAGTTATCATCATGGGAACCATATCAACAAATTTTCCTTTTTTAATCTAAAGCTTTTGCTTATTATTTGAAATCTTTGTAGTCTTAATATCTGAGTCTCAAAACAAACATAGGCTTAGAAAACGTGCATATTGAAACAGACCAACGGGTCCACACCTTTCAGTTTGCATGTTTTCAAAACAATAAGAAGGCTTTGTTTTTGGTCCACTCTATAAAACCGCAAAGTCAACACTATTTCGGACATTTTGAATTGAAAACGCTTCCTGGATGGGAAGCCAAACGTCTTAAAAACTTGGAACTAATTCCAGTGGATTTTTTTTTTTTTTACTTTTTGGAATGACTTTGACCTGGATGACTGAGAATCTTCACTAGCATTTTGTTCCTTCATATTGAAGTTTATCCTGGTTTAAAAAAAAAAAACTGTGCTACGGAAATGGCAACCGTAGAAATGACGAATAATAAAAAAAAAAAAAAGAAATCTTCAAGTGAACTTTTAAGGAAGGCATAAAGAAACAACCCTAAACTCAGAACTTATTTTATGAGTAAAAATTTACTGGAACATCTTTTCTACTTTCAGAGAAAATCTTACTAAAGCCTTTCTACTGTCGTAGAGCGATGCATAAATATGGTTGTTAACAAGAAAGCTTTATAGACTAATGAATGGAGCCTCATATCATTTTTGGCCAAGCAGTATGTTACATTAATATATGCTGTAAAATGTAAAAAGTTATTTTACACTGTAAAGTGTAAAATTAGAATGTGAGTCATCAGTAGCAGAGCTGACATCACTAAGGCAGAGTTAGAGTTGCACTTTAAGATGCTAAACAGGACCCTGCTGACAGCATGCGAGCTGAACTAGTGCTGCAGGTGTTTGATGCTGAATGTGGTGCAGTACAATGAAGGGAAAATGCTTCACGAACACCAAAAATGGCCATGCACCAATTGTAACCCTTACATCAGCTGGATTCTGTTTCTTCCCATTAGAGTCATAAGAATAAAACAATGAAAACCAAGCTACCTTTTGACCTCTTTCTAACAGATAAAAAACTGGACCATATTTATGCCAAGGGGTGCAAATACTGCAAATACAGTAAGCATTGCAAACAAACAATGAGGCAATCACAAAATATAAGACAGAAAATTAAAAAACCAAGTGCAAACGTACTAAAACGTACTAAAATAAACGGACTGAAAACACTGATCTAGGATCAGACTATGAGGGGAAAAAAGGAACAGAATGCAGGAAAGAACGAAAAGTAAAGTTTCCCTTTAAGCCTCTTTTTTTAACTCTGAACGGCTCTAATCATTGTTTTCATGTCTTTATGTGTTTGCAGCACGTTTGTTTTTTTTCAATGTGCAAGCACTTTGTGTTTCTATCTTTTGTGATTAAACTCAGTGTTTTTCCTGCAGTTCTCTCATGTGTTAATCTTTTTTCTGTGCATTCTGCCCTCAATTTAATTTTTAACACTTATATGTGCAGCATGTTTATGTATTTGCAGCACATTTGGACTCCCTGGCCACCATAGTACCAAGATACAACTTCAGACTCCAGTTAATGGGTACTGGCACATCCCGATCAGTTCGGGAAGCACAACCCATCCTTCGCGAACAGATTAGTAAGATCCGATCGCTGAAAAACTACGTAATAACGGTACTGAAAATACTTATTTTATATAGTAAAACATTAAAGAATGCTAAACTACATTGTATAGAAAACATTAAAGACTTTTCTATTATTAGGCTATTATAGGCTATTTAAGTGTATTGCTTTATTTTGTTTTTATAAAATAAAATATTTATGCAAATATGCAATATTTCTGCAAAATTATTAAAAAGGAAGCCTCCCGCTGGAAAAAGAATAAAAAAGCAAGAAAAACAAAGCATTGCCTACCCGGAAGTTATTCTCTTTTGGCATGCGCAGGACGGATCGTGCTTCCGGGACGGATCAGGTAGCGTCAGGTACAATCTGACTGAATAACTCACAGTGGTGTCTCTCTTACACTTCTCTCTCTGTGCTTTAAAAATTTATTAACTTGTGTTAAATATTTACATGTTGTATAAGCTGAATAATGCAGTTTTATGAAAACTGCCTGCAACCTCGCATGATGCATGACTTCCATCATTAATTAGATAAATATGTGGATGTGTTCCTCGGTTCAGAAGCCAGACGGTCCTGCAGCGTCTCAGGCCATCGGTGTCCTCACCAACACGGCTAAGGATCAAACATCTGAGCCACCTCACCTTCATGCATGCTCCCTACAATCAGCAGCCCGTACACAAGCTAACTTCCTGCAGCATTTTAAACTAAAGGATACACAAAAACAGACACACACAGCTGCTCTTTAAAAAGTCAATTAGCCTTGGAAAAGTTGACGACTACTCATTTTTAGAGATACGGAGCGTTTCCTCCAGAGCACTGACATCCACGGCATCATGTCATTTAATAAAAACATGATCGAACTTAATATAACTAAAGACAAGGACTCAGCAGTTTATCTGGCTGTTAATTACAGCGTGCCATCTTTTAATGAAAACGTGTGTGTGTGTTTGCTGAGTTTAATGAAAACACTGTATTTCAGTTCATGTGTGTGTCTGCTGGTGTGTGTAAGAAACTCTTCCCAGAGAACACCTGTAAGACAAACCTACCAGGAGAATTGGCTAATATGCTTTTTAAACATAAATGTATATGAGCAAAAATGGACCCCCCACCCCCCCATCCAAACCCCATGGATCATAAACATATAAAAGTAAGACCGCATGCAGGCAGCTTTGTAGCCATTAATTAAATCCTAAGCACAGTATTTTGAAATGCGCTCTGAAAAGCAGCCACCACCCTGGTTCTCACCACCAGTCTCACTTTTTCTCCTGCTTTTAAATAAAAAACATGTTGGAAAATTGGATTTTTAATGTGACATCTTCACCATGTGAACAGGAAATATATATATATGTATATATATATATATATATATATATAATTTATATATATATATTTTGTGGTAGCAAAAAAAAAACATTGATCCCTCCTGCAACCAGACTCTACAATGCCACACTACAAAGGCAATAACTTGTGCATTTTATAATGTGCAAATGACTATTTAATACCCTAATACCCGTATGAATACCCATGTAAACACCCTGTATAATGATTCTACCATGAAAAAAATAAATATAAAAAAGCTGTCATATGTGTATGCACTGCATATACTGTATTTACCCCATGCACCTTTTCTTCCTTTGGTACCTTCTTCTTCTACTTTGACTCTTTGAGCTAAAGGAACAAGTTAATTTCTCCCCTGTGAGATCAATAAAGTCAATCAATCAATCAATCAATCTGATTGTCAGAGCTATGAAACCATCTTAAGCCATGAAAAAGGTTTTGATTCTAGAAAATGTTCATAAATTCATAAATTCAAATGTTTATTTTCTATATTACAGCTGTCCAAACTAGCTGTGTGTTGTCAAAACAGAATCACCCTTTTTTTTCAAACATGAATTACCTCTGATTCATTTCCTGTGTCTTTGGTTCGGTTTGTCATCCCAGAAGACTTGCTGATCTAACAGATCTTTAGAATAGAACCTGCATGTCAACATGAAGTAGGCTAAAGAAGGCTGAAAACTTAGAAATAATTAGGTTAGATTTCCAACTTTCTCCAGTCCCATCCATCTACAGTGAATATTTTCCACTCTTTCTAATCTTTGTTTTAAATGTTTGGTGCATAGGGCTGGGATTTCTGCACATTTGATCACATGCAAACTTTCTGCGAAGGTATCTGTAGTTATTCTATAATTTAGGATATTTAGACTTCCCTATTATATCTTCTAAATGTTGCTCGTTGGTAGCCTGAAGGCAGCACATATATATATATATATTTTAAATTTCTTGTTGTTTTTTCTGTTTGCAATAGACCAGAAACTAATAAGAATAATGATAAAAAAGGGGAAAAGCTCTTCTGCCCATACAGAAACACAAGGGCCCGTCTCAGGCTGCGTTCTGAAGGAGAATGTCTTCCCATCAGCTTGTGGTCTTTGATAAATGTGGGGTTATGCAGCAGGCAATGATTAGAAGCACTTTGGAGAGTTCACCTCTGGATGGCTAAAAAATGAAGATTTAGGAGCGTCCGAGTTCAAGGTTAGACTTAAATCTAATTGGGAAGCCGTGACATCACCCTAAACACGTCGTTCATGCTTGAAAACCCTCCAATGTGGCTGAAGCAAGATAACGGATGGAAAGAGGAGAGAGAGACGCCCTGATTGCCAGGTTTCCCAAACACTAAATAACAGCTGTCTCTGTCAGGGGGGGACAGCCAGTTATTAGGCTTAGGGGACAATTTCCCACTTGGGGTGGTTTGGTTATTTGTTTCACTTATTAAACAATGTAAAAAGTGGATTTTGCATTTACTGAAGTTGCCTTTGCTGACATGACAGGAACATCTCTTTGATGATGGTAAACATTGATAAGTGTGAACAAAACCACTGAGGGGGCAGAAATCTCCCCCACATCTATCAAACTGTATTCTTTTCGTAGCGGGAAGTGGGAAGCCTGAAAGAAGGAAATATATATGACTCTAAACAGACGATCCCAGGTCCTACCGTTGTCGCTGTCCGACTTGTTCTCATGCTCCGTGTCAGTCAGAGTCAGCACCGAGTTGGAGCGGCTGGACAAGCAGGAACTCCTCCCTGACGTTTTACCCAGACCTCCACGGCCCCACAGCCGCATGGCGCGCTCCGGTGACATCACCGCCTGGCTCTCCGAGTTCACCTCCTGTGCCGTGCCCACTGAAAATCCATGATGGGGAAGGCCAATGTCGGAGCAGAAGGGGAGGCCGCGGCGTGGAGGGGGCTCACATATCCCCAGCTGACGAAGACTGAAATGCTGGCCTATAACAGACACAGAGGGGGGGAATATGGACACATGAAAACAAATGACTGCCTTTTTAAGATGGAATACATGAAATATTTTAATTTGAAGTTTAACACGACCCCCCTTCCAGAGACATAGACAGGTATGGGGCATTGCAGGCTAATAACCGAACCAAACGACCCCCATTCCAAAGGGGTGGATCCGTTCGTCTGGTTCAATCTGCATGTTTTCTAAACAAAAACAAGGCTTTGTTGGGCTACTGTAATAAAGCATCAAACTCAACACTATTTCTGACTTTTTTAATCTAAAAAGCTTCCTGAATGGGAAGAGAAACACGTTCAAATTTGGAAACAAAGTCCAGCGGATTGTTTTTTTTTTTTACTTTTTTGGAATTTCAAGGTACTTTAAAATGTAAAGTGATGCAATTCCTCCTCTACATAGAGTGACCAAACTTAAAAATAAAGCTTGTCTTCAAAGATAATCTGATGATAAATCATTACAATCATTGAAAGAATGTCTGCTTTTTAAATCAAAGTAGATAAAGGCGTCCCACGCCTTGGTAATATACACAAATACAAGAACTTTCCAAGGACTTTTTAAGACCAACTCTCTCAAATCAAGCACCACATGGAGCGGCTTTTATCTAATGCTACCGCTGAATATTTAAATCCAAAGCTAATTCAATAAAGAACTACAATGTATAACAGTTGTCGAGTCTAGTTAGATAAAAATGACATAGAATGCATAGCCTAGATTGATACCAGTGGCATTCAAAGCCTCCATTCATGGATGTGTCTATTGATGGCCGGACGAGGCTTTGTTGAAGCTACAAAGCGCTTCAGTAAAAATGTTGCAACACGACCCATTTTTCTAGGCCTCACATATAAGGTTCAAAATGTTCACTGGAGCTGTTTAGTGGTGAGCACAGATCTGTCAGGTCTTCACATCTCCGATCTATGAAGCGATGGACCTGAACTGAATGATCTGAGCACATAAACACTCTGCCTTTGTGAGAAATTACTGTGGTAAAGAAAAACATGTAATGGCTTAAAGTGCTTTTGTAGCCGTCTCTACATGCTCATCCAGGAGGAGTGAGTCCAGCTAAGTTAGTGACTAGATGCAATCAGCTGCTTTTCCTTAAACAGAACATTTTCAACCAATTTCTCTGTGTAATTGACTAAATGGTCTCTAAAGTGCCTTGAGGTGAAATGTGTTGTAAAATGACACTTTTTAAATAAACCAGTTTGAGTTGCTGATATGATAGTTTTCAATTTTAAGGCGAGGCTTAAAACTTTCCTTTTTGATAAAGCTTATAGTTAGAGTGGCTCAGGT